GAATTATTCTGGACACTTTTTTATGAAAGTTGATGCGAATAACCATTTGGGAACGGATTTTGAGTTGTAATTTGCCTTTGTGCATTTTTGCGAACGACTAATGTTTATAGCCGAAAATAGCCAACACGCCGAATTAAAAAATGATTGTAATCGCATGGAAAGTTGCACAAACATTGATTATTACGTGCATAATAGTACATATATTTGCAAAAATCGATTATCGCGCGTCAAGGGCTATAGAAGCCGATTTTGGCGGGAAAATTAAACATAGCAAATATGGCTTTCAATTCGTGACATCGGCTATAAATAATTTTGTGATTAGACTAAAATGTGTAAAAATTGCTTCTTGTACATCTAACATGCATAGAATTTACGCATACTTAGGGCGGGAAAACAAACGTTTTCCTACAGTGGCTTTAAATTGATAGCACTGGTAATGAATAATTATAGCATCAACCGTTCGAAACCATACTTTAGCGCATTTTGAATATAACTCAATTTTAACGGGAAAATTATATGCTACTTTCTAGGTAATCTCTTAATTTTCCCGCCCAACGAGATTTCATCGGATTTTCACAAAATTGACTTCGGCGTTAAACTCAGCCACTCAGCAAATTCATTTTAGAAAGATAAGCATTTTGGCAAGAAATATTTAATTTCGTAAATTTTTGTAGACCGTCAACAATTTTTCAGGGAGATTCACAAATTGTCACAATATTTTAACCAAGTTCGACCCGAAAGTATCAAATTTGGGGTTCAAGGAAATCTTTGATGCCATGCAGTGATAAATATTTACCAACGTTGTTACTTAACCGATTTTAAGGTTTTTCGAAATTAGGATTGGGCCAGTTTAAATTTAGATAATTTCGGCAAAACAATAATACAACCTAAATAAAAATTATGTTGTAATTCATTTTCTGTGTAAAATTTATTTTGGCGTTGAAATCAAAACAAATTGAGTTTCAGACGGGTCTACGTTTTACGCGAAACGTTGCGTGAATTGTTAAAAATGTAATTTTTAAAAATTGATTTCACTTTCGCTATAAATGATCGATTATTTCTGGTTTCGATTTATTTGTATATACGAAATTTGCAAGATTGATAATTTAAATGCACGTTTGTTACTGTATGCATTTAAAAAAAATCATATGATATTTACGAAATTAATTTTTTCGCAAAATCGTAAAATTATGTGTAGCTTTAAAACTATGTTGTGATTTTAACGCCATTTATTAAATTTTGTGAAGAATTAATTTGCTTGTGGCTAGCTTAGATTCGATTGTCAAAGTACCTAGGTAGGTTCAAAAGTTTGTTAGAATCGCCAAAATTTTTGACGGGTAGCAGTAAAATTTCCAGAAATGTAATAGTCACAATTTGAGTAGGCAAGAAATTTACGTATTCATAAATGTACGTATTTGACAAAGTTATTTTATGAGCTTTCGCCTGAATTCATCAAATTCAAATTTTTGACTGTCTTCAAAATTGACGAAATTAAATGTACGAATTTTTTTGTATAAAATTTCATCTATCTCAAATTTATTTGGTTTGAGTTTAACGCCGAAGTCAATTTTGTTAAAAAATGGAATTATTAAATTGTCCCAAGATTGATGTCAGTCTGATTTAATTTTATTTTTGACAGTTTTGAAGGTTTGCAAAACTCAAAATTCGTAACATGTAGTAGTAGCAACAAACTTTGCAAAATTTATCATCACAAATCAGGATCCGACAAAATAAGATTTTTTTAAACCCCAAACTTCCCAAGTTTCATCACTACATGCAATTTTAACCTGATATCTGCATTTAAAATTATTTGGTAACAAAATCATTACTGGCCACATGTATTCATCACCATTTTTGTGAAGATTTATCACAAAATGCTACACTATTATGAATTTTGGCGAAACTTAAATTTACTTGAATCTAAATATTATGAACTTTTTCGTTTTGACTTTAACGCTGAAGTAAATTTTGAGAAAAAATAATAATCGGTCATTACACTTATAGGTTCTGATTCTGATAAGATTAAGATTTGGAAAGTTTCTAAGGGTTTGGTTGCAAAAATTTTAAGCAATAAACTTTAAGTAGCAACAAACTTTCCAAAAACAAAAACATTATCATCATAAATCATCATCTGACGAAATAAGTTTTTTGTAAACCTTAAATTTCCCGAGTTTCATCAACTTTACATCGATTTGAGTATCTATAAAATTATTTATGACGCTAGTAAATTTGATACGCTCAAAATTGTTTGGTAACAAACTCGCCGCTGTATATATTTCTGTATACGTCTTTGGGAATTTTGGGTCGATTTTTGAAATTCATAATTCAAATTTTTTACAAATATTTGACTTACTTGTTATGCCGTTAAAGTTAAAAATTAAAAAACAATGATTTTTAAATATAATTTTTATTTCTTTATATTTTATCCCACCTACACAATTCGACAAATGAATAGATTCCAGTTCATGACATGTTCTTTAATCGTTAGATAGATTGTCATGAACGCCGTGAAATTAATCTACTAAATTCAGATTATTTAAAATTAATTGAAGGTAAGACAGAAGCCGACAAGAAGATTTTAGTTTTATATAAAATAGCATTTTTGGTGATACCAATTAATACTCTGTTAACCAATTAAAATTCGTTATGAAGATTTGTTACTTAATAAAATGCGAAATTAATTGATTCTAATATATTAAATTAACGAGGAAATTTTACTTTAAATTTTAGTTTGAAATTTTATTTTTAAATTGTTTCATTGCTCTAATTACATTATAGACTTTGATGCTAAATGGGAAATGATGATGGGAAAGCAAGCCAGGACTTCGTCGAAAATTCCATTTTTAGCCCGAGTCAGGGCTTATGCACCTCATGATTGTCCGTCCGTCCGTCTGGCTAGCGAATACTATTCAGACTTGAAATTTCGGGCTGACGTAAATTTATATTCTACGTGAGCCTTCCAAATTTAGCATATTATGCAATATATTTGGAATCAAGTTTGAAAATGCGTGAATTGTCTCTCTATTTCGCTCCAATATTTATTAAAGTAAGAAATTTCGACGCCAGAGAGCATATTTTTTTTATTTGTGTGCCATTAACATAATATTAGATAAACTTTGAGTTGAGACTTATCTAAACAAATGTAATACCGACCATGAATACATTTATTTAACAAATTTTCTTAAATTCAGAACTGCACAAGTGTGCATTTTTTTTTAATTGGGAAAATTTCCACTACGAAACTTTTGTGTTTACAAACTTTACAAACATATTTAAAGAGATGCCAACCTCCAGTGTAATTTGTGTAGTAGGAAACATAGATTGTCTAGTAAAATTATTTTTTTACATAATTCGTTTCAGCAAAAATTTTCAAAAAATTTTCAAAAGTTTTAGTTTCAAAAATTTGTCGGTATCGCTCCAATACTTATTAAAATTCGAAATTTCGACGCCAGATAAGTTTTATTTGTTTGTGTAGTATTAATTGAGGAATACAAGATAGCTACTGCATTTTTGCGTGTGATATTTTAAAAATTAGTGATGTAAATAACAGCAAATATTTTATATGTGGATAAACTTCATACTTTGCAAATTGAGAGAATTTTCGTTATGAAACTTGTGCTTCGACAAAATTTACTAATGGGCCTCCTCAGACACACGAAAATATCGTCGCTTAGAATTTCGCTTCGTTTTTCGCTTACTTCATGATAAGCGAGCTCTCGGATAAGCGACCAAAAACTCCACTCAGAAGTGGGGTTAAGGTCGGTTAGTTGAAGTCTCAACAAAATTTTGCAATTTTCATAATTTTGGCAATGCTATCGATACGCGAAAAACAAAGCGAAATTCGAAGCGACGATTTTTTCGTGTGTCTGAGGAGGCCCAATATATTCAACGAGACGCTAACGACAACCTTTGCCAACCTCCAGATTTTCGAGCAAAATTTAAAAAAAAAGTTATTTTATAATTCGATTCCGTAGAGATTTTAGACTCAAAGGGTAACAGTAATTTAGTGAAGATTAAAACTTGTTACAATGGGCCTCCTCAGACACACGAAAAAATCGTCGCTTCGAATTTCGCTTTGTTTTTCGCTTATCGATATCATGCCCAAATTATGAAATTTGCAAAATTTTGTTGAGACTTCAGCTAAGCGACCTTAACCCCACTTCTGAGTTGAGTTTCTGTTCGCTTACCCCAGAGCTCGCCTATCAGGAAGTAAGCGAAAAACGAAGCGAAATTCTAAGCGACGATATTTTCGTGTGTCTGAGGAGGCCCAATGTTTTAATCAATTTCTAGCTGGAAAGTATAGAATTTGAGTTCACTAATTTTTTTTGGACTATCCGGTGATAAATCTTCACAAACGGTTTGGTGACAATTTTGTCACGAAATAATTTTGAGCTTACAAAATACGCTAGCGTCATCAATAAACTTTTATGGACACAATGCATCGATGAAATTGGGCATTTAAATTTCATGTTTCGCCAGATTTGTGATTTGTGACAAGCTCACCTGAGGACAAATTTTAAATTATTTTTTTACAATATTTCGGCATTAAACTCAAAGTGTTGACCGATAAACATTTTACGTAGAAACATTTAATTCCGGTTGCAATTGCAAACAGTGACATCTAATAATTTACGAATCGTGATTTAATTTCTTCACAAAAGTTACTTTGGCGTTGAAGTCAAAAATAAGTTTGGCACAGATTAATATTTTGAGTAAAAATGTTGAGTAGAAAATTGAGATTGAGAAAACCTAATCACACTTTAGTCACGTTAAAATTTTTAATTACCTAATCGATTTTCAGATTTGGCAATACTATGTTAGATTAGGCCAGTTTTGAAATCGGTAAAACTGTAAAATAACCTCAATAGAAATTAATAATTCGTTTCCTTTGTAAAATTTATTTTGGCGTTGAAGTCAAAACAAATTGAGTTTCAGATAGATACTCGTTTTTTGCAGAAATGTTGCTTAAATTGATGAAAATTAATCGCACTTCGAAGTGATTGATTATTTCTGGCTTGGATTTATTTTTATATACCGAACTTGTACCTCAAATTTGTTACTGTACTACTTATAAAAAAATGCTAAGAAATTTACGAAATTAAGTTCACACAAAATCAGATTACAGAATGCTTTTAAACCTTGTTGTAACTTTAAAGCCGTTTATTAAATTTTGTGAAATTAATTAACGACTTCGCTTAGGTTGCGTCGAGTTCCTGGTCAAATTAGGATTCAAACAGTTTTAAAGGCTAGTTAAAGTCACCAAAATTGTTAACTGGTCGCAATAAATTTTCCAAACAAAATTATCCAAAAAAAATCAAAATTAGTAAACTTGCAAACCTTCAAATTTGCAAAGATTACGAAGGAAAACTGAATTCATTACAAACTTATTAGTAGTCTCATTCTACAAAAAAACAATTTCACAAATTTTAACATGATTTTAGCAACTTGCGCCAATGCTATAGTTTAACTATGGCGTAGGTTAGCAAGAAAGAGTGAACACATCTTTACACAGTTTACGGTGTGAATTAGTTTAAATTACAAGATTATATTATTTAGATCACGTGTGTTACTACATAAACTAATTATTATAAACTTAATTATTACTATTAAAACTGCACAATTAACTACGTTGTCTTTAACCCCATCGATAATGAGCGTAGGCTCGGTTAGCTTCACAAACTCGGTGGAGATCCTGTTTTCGCTTGATTACTTTGCCCTGCAGAATAGAAAAAGGAGAATGATTAATTACTATGTGCGAATAATTGGCAAACATTAAACAAGTTGTGCAAATATTTAAATAAAATTGAGTCTTTGGACAGCTCACCACTCCTTCCGCCGCGTCGATAATTTCTTTGGCTAACTGCTTCCAAAACCTCGTATCGTCATCCTTCTCCTTCCCCGCGTTGATAAGCCATTCCAACGCAATGGCCAAACTGGCATTTGGCCTGATGGGAATGGGAACCTGATAAGTGTGACCGCCCCGCTTGATCGGGGTCGTTTGGAGGAAGGGACGCGAGTTGGCGACAGCCTGGTGTAAAAGTTTGTACGGGTTTAACTCCACGTTAGGATTGGTGGCATATTTGGCGAGTTGGACCCTCTTAATTTCCATGAAGGTCTGGAATTATTCAAAAAGAAAAATTGAAAAATTAATAATTTGTTAAATGATCATTCATACATACATGAAAGTAATTAATTAATATTAATTAAAAATTAATATTAATTAATGAATATAACAAACAATTAGTAAGAGATACAACTATTTCCAATTTTTCACACATTTTTGACACATTTGTTGTAATTTTGAAAGTCATTTTGCAATTAACTTCTGGGCAAGGACAAAGCTAAAACTTGTGTTCGGAACACATTTTTCTTTGACGACGTCCAGCACTTCTTTAGACTCGTGTTGATTAAATGTCTTTGGATCCGCCAAGCCACCATCGCGTCAAATGATGACTCTGACTGGATAGCATCCTTGTTCCTAAAGAAAAATTAATTACGCATAATTTAACGAGAAATAGATTCATGTCACAATATCCATACCAATTTTTCTTTAGGAACAAGGATGCTATCCAGTCAGAGTCATCATTTTGCGTGATGGTGGTTTGGCGGATCCCAAGACATTTAATCAACACGAGTCCAAACAAGTGCTGGACGTCGTCAAAGAAAAATGTGTTCCGAACACAAGTTTTAGCTTTGTGCTTGCCCAGAAGTTAATTGCAAAATGACTTTCAAAATTACAACAAATGTGTCAAAAATGTGTGAAAAATTGGAAATAGTTATATTTCTTACCAATTGTTTGAAAATTGTGTTCCGAGCACAAGTTTTAGCTTTGTCATTGTGGAAAACCTCTTATTCGAACAAATAAAATTTTAAGAGAGCAATTATTTGCAAATTGAAGGATTTGACATTTTCAACTTGCTAAAAACTTGTAGTAAAACCCAAAAATGAGAAATGATTTGACATCGCAACCTTTGAACCCTTACATTTTCGAGCAGTCCCCTGGCCAAGATTTTGTTCCCTTTTCGCATAATATGGTTAGTAAATTTGGCGACGAGTGGGTCGTAAAAGACGGACGAGGTTTGACTACTATTCGCCGGGCGGACTGGGAGGAAAGTATGGCGCTCGAAGTCATTCGCCTCCTGAAGAGCGACTTGGTCAGCGTGGCGAAAAATGGGGTGGATATAGCTCGGAGGAAAAGTGGCGAAGAGACTGAAATACGAATGAACCCGTTATTTCACTTAGTTAAGTAATTAACTTGCATTTAATTTTAAGTAAGAAAGATGTGAAAATTTTCGCGAATTGTGATTTTATTTTATGGGTGTGCCGGTGGCCCGGTGAGGGTGGGGAGTCGTAATTTATGGACTACTTACCGATTGGTGGGACGATATCCAACCTGGTATATTTTTCTGAGCAACATTTTCGAAATTTTGCAGAAAAACAAAAATTAAAGTTTATTTTCCTCTCGGACCGGCTGAGCTGCTGTTGCTGGTGAGAGTTTGAGTTTGAGCTGAGACGGCGGGTTTGAGTCAAGTGAGAAGACATGTGCGAATTTTTTGTACGTTTTTGTTTTTGATGAAGATTTTCAATTTTTGAAGCATTATTTCAATTTGTGAGGCATAATTTTTATTTCCGAAGAAGGAGGGGACCGAGATGGACAAGGATCCACCCACCACCAATACAACAGTAACTAAATTCATAATTTCTATACAAATTGTGGAATTTGGAATTAAGAATCTTAATTTAATTATTAAACTAAAATCTAAACTAAATTATTTGAACTAATTATGTAATTAATTCTCAAACTTATTCGACCAGGTCGACCCACCACCTCCACCCGAGGATAATACAACCCCAGACCCATTATTACAGGTATAGAAAATTATTAACACATTTCCGCTAAACTTGTGCAATTGTTAAATAGATAAAGTTTTGAGTCTTAGTAAATATGAAATATTTAACTATTTATCTCCTCTTTATCCAGCAACCTTCCCCCCAAGATGACGACCGGATCTCCCAAATCCTATCCCACTACGCCTCCTCCGACACACCGACCCCACTTCCGGCCCACCTCCGTCGCGCCGCGCCGACACCGGAGGAACTCGCCGATTTGGAATCGTCTCTCGTGAACCACCCCTTTTTCATTACCCAATCCCAAATTGACGCCCTCTCCCCGTCCGAACCGCTCCCACCGCTTCTTGACGCGCTACAACAGCTGAAATATTCCCCCGATGAAAATACTCCCCTCGAACTCGCCCTCAACTACAAGACGGACGGCCTCTTTCAATTCAAAATGGGAAAGTATCGCATCGCCGCGAGCATTTTTAGCGAAGCGATAAAAACTCTGGAGCAAAGTGGGGAAAAAAATGGTGAGGAAGAAGAAGAAGTTACGGCGAAAATTGACGCCCTGCTCCCCACTTTGTATAACAATCGAGGAGTTTGTCAATTCCACGTGGACAATTTCCGGTCGGCGTTGACCGACTTTAAAAAAGCGCTCAAGTTGAAACCGGATTATGAGAAGAGTTGGAAGAAAGGGATTGAGTGCTGTGTCAAACTGGAGAAGTGGGAGGAGGCTGGGGAGCTTTTGGAGGGAGGGAAATCGGTGGGGATGAAGGATGTGGAGTTAGAGAAGAAGATTTTGATGGGGAAGGTAATTTTTAGAGTGGGAAGAGACCCAGGAAATTAAAATTCACAAATTTTTGCACGATTCTGACTTGAATTTGTTACAATTTTATTAATTTGGGGGATTTTAAAGTTAATTTTGAAAGGTTACAAAGGTTTATGAGAATAGTTTGGAATTTTTAATGTTTTTTGTTACCCTCGATTAGTCGAAAGTTTTTTTTAATTTTCATACTCCTTATTTTTGCAAATTGGCCAAATTTTTGATAATTTGAATTTTCCAATTTTTACAGGGAAACGCCCAACTGTCGCGGCACAAGGAGAAATCCGCAAAAGCGAAGCTGACCAAAGAGGCGTTCGTCCTTATGGAACGGATTCGAAAATCAGGGGTGAAAATGTTAAACGCCAATTTTCTCCAGGTCGAGGGGGGTAGCGACGCGGTGGTGAGGATTGACGCCGACGAGCTCGTCTGGCCCGTTTTGCTGTATTACCCGGAATACTCCACGTCCGATTTCGTCAAAGAATTTAGAGAGACGGACGAGTAAGTTTAGGAACACATTTTTAAGAATTTTTGCGTTGGTTCGATATCTGATTTTTTAACGGAAAACGGGGGGAAGAAAATCCCAGAAAAATCCCACGGCCCGTAAAAAACCGACTGAAAGGGCCAAACTTTCCTAAATACGCTCGAAAATTCCCGAAAACGTTTAAAATTTCCTACAAATGCTCGACAATTCCAAATATTTTTACAGGGATATAAATTCTTTTCCCAGTTTTCGCCTCCAACTTTCTCTTCAAACGCGTTTGCAAGCATGCACCACCAACCGAACCCGCAAATTTGTGTACTAATTAAAATTTCCTTTGTTGCAGATTCCTGCCCCATCTGCACGAAATGTTGGATGTGGAACCACCCAACTGGGACAAAAACCACGAGTATGGGTCCGCCGACGTGGACGTTTATTACGTCGATGGTCAACGTGGCGGCTGGGTCATGATTGAGGAGGGGACCGCTTTAAGAGACGTCATGCGGCAAGAGAGGTGTGAATTACACATTTTTTCGCGAATTTGTGCAAATTTTAATACTTATGTACATACCTCTTGCAGATATTATCTCCCGACGAATGGAGTACCTGGATTTTTTATTCTCTCAAAAAAATCAGAATTTTGTAAATTTTTCTTGGAAAGGATGAAATGATTTTCAATAAATAGATTGAAACCCTGGAATTATTTTTATCAATCTCTTTATTTGTCGTGTAAGTACTGTAATCAGTCAAAATTAAGCATTTTTTGTAAGCCAAGTTTACATTACACCAACGAAACTTCATTAATTTTGAATTGCCTATTTAGTTAGTTAATTGTCTGCAAATAGATAAATGGCAAATAACATTAATGAAACCTAACTAGCATAAATAATCTCTCGTTTTTTTTACTTACACGTACTTGTAAATTCTAATAATTTTAGTGGTTTAATTTGTACTAAATTTGTAATTTGTCTTATCTAAATTTCTATGTACCTATTTGTACTAATTTTTATTTCATCAGGTCACAAAATGTCAGGATTTTTAAATAGTATCTCATGTTTGGATTTGATTTATTTGTCCTCTATATTTATTAGCATGTTCTTCGAGTATCATTATTGCATTGGAAATAGTTAATACTTTTAAGTTTGGTAAATAATTTAAGAAAGTGTACAAAATTGGTAAAAGTAATCCTACAACTAAAAAATACTGCAAATAACTAAAAATACTTTAACCTCTATATTTTCATACACTTTTTTACGTAACTATTCCCCCTGCCGACCTAGGTCTCGATAGAATTGTGAAAAATGTCGTCGGTGTATTGTTCTTGAAAAGGAAGCAGCTTGAAAATCTTCTGTATCTCCAGAAAGTTGAGAATTAACGAGATCCCAGAGCTATTTACCTCTGGCAGGCTTCTTTCGCTTGATTTTAGGCGACTCCGACTCCTCCTCACGGGGGAGGTGGACGGCGGTAGTATGTTTCTCCAAGTGGGCCTAAAAACCGGGTGAAAATAAATTGTTAACGTTTTCCTTTTATTTGAATTTATTTCGTGTTTTGTTACCTTTTGACGGAAAGAGGCGTTGCAAAAGAAGCAACCAAAAGGCCTTTCACCCGTGTGGGTGCGAGTATGAGCGACTAAATTCCAATTGGAGACGAATGCTGAAGAATTATACAATTTTTTTTAGTGTTTTATGCTTAATAAAATAAAATACTTTGTGTAAAATTTGGCTCACTCTTTTCACAATGCTGACACGCAAAGAGATCAGTGTTGTTGGCCGGTTTTTTCTTATTCAGATTTGCAGAGGACGGTCGTTTTCGTTTTGGTGGTCGTTTCCTATCTCCATCACTCTCATCTTCTATCTCCTCCCACCTTCGGGGCAGGCGACATTCTCCAGTCGAAGAAACGCTCTTATTGCGACTTCGAAGAATTCGAGTTGCGGTGAGGTTTTGTGGGGTCGCGGCGACTTTTCGTAGAGTCGGGGCGAGTTTTTTTCCTGGAGTCGCAGCGACCTTTTTTCGTGGAGTTTCGGCGAGTTTTCCTAGAGTGGCGGCGAGTGTTCGTGGAGTTGAGACGAGTTTTTTTCGTGGAGTAGCGACGAGTTTTCGTGGAGTTTCGACGAGTTTTCCTGGAGTCGCGGCGAGTTTTTTTCCAGGAGTCGCAGCGAGGTCTGGTGGAGTGGTGGCGAGTTTTCGTAGAGTAGCGGCCAAACGGGTGGATCTTCGGGAGAGATGATGGTTTTGGTCTTGACCAACACCGACACCTTCATCCACCATGCTCGCTTCAGAGTTGGATTGCCCGTCTAGAAAAAAAAATCATAAATAAATTTCCTATCAAAATTCCCTGCAAAAATTTACTCACCAAGTTCCATTCCACGATCGATTTCCTGATCCATTCCTACGACATCAACGTCAACATCTTCATCCTGGTGATGCTGGTGGGGAACCTGCTCTTGGTTGGCGAGATGTTCTTGGTTAGCGACATGCTTTTGGTTGGCGACATGTTCTTGGTGGGCGACATGCTCTTGGTGGGCGACATGCTCTTGGTTGGCGACATGCTCTTGGTTGGCGACATGCTTTTTGTCATGCTCTTGGTTGGCGACATGTTCTTGGTTGACGACCTGCTCCATGTTAGCGACATCTTCTTGGTTGGCGACATGCTTTTGGTGGGCGACATGCTCTTGGTGGGTGACATGCTCTTGGTTGGCGACATGCTCTTGGTTGGCGACATGCTCTTGGTTGGCGACATGCTCTTGGTTAGCGACATGCTCTTGGTTGGCGACATGCTCTTGGTTGGCGACATGCTCTTGGTTGACGACCTGCTCTTGGTTGGCGACATGTTCTTCATGAACGATATGTTTTTGATGGTCGTCCTCTGCAGCGGCGTCGAGAGGAGGCACCGTTTCGGAAGCTGACACCGATCCAGAATCCGGAATTCCTTCATCCTGCACTATGAAGAGTGGATCGTTCGCCATCATCTCGCCATCATTCATCACATCCACTGAAGACCAGTTGAAATTAATTTCACACTCGCCAATACTTTCAACCATTCTCGGTTTGAAAGAATCCGAACCGACCATTATGTTTCCGCCGTTATCGTCTTGCTGAGCACTGGCCGAATCCTGACGGACAAAAAATATGGTCAAACTATTCATTTAGCAAAATTCTAATTACATTTCCTACCTGGAGTTGTACATCGTCTACCCGTGATTTCAACCCTTGCGGCGACGATGGCCTGGTTGCAGGTGGATGAACATGCATCACAGGAAAAGTCGGATCGTAAAAGTTGTCAATGAGGAATTTCCCGTTTCCGTAGCCTGGTTGGAGACCGAGTAGTTTCATGAGGTCAACCACCCTGCCGAGCTGTTGCAGGGGCAGGGTCACCTCGCCGCCGTACATGAACTCGGCGAGGACAAGCATGTCGGGATACTTCACGTCGGGCAGGATTATGGTGTACACGTCGAGGGGGATTTCCATCCCGGCGAAGATCTAGGGGAAAAAATCAGAAATTTAATAAATTTCCCTTCAACTAAACATCCGATAATCCACCCCCACTTTATAACAATGATGATAAGATGACCAAACACTTACCGATTTTAACCAAGGACTCGCCGAGGCCAAGATAACCCTGTGCAGATTGATGATTGATCCTCCATCACAAATGATTTTCGTATCAAAATCTTCAGCTTTATTCGATTCGAAAGAGTTCCGAACCTCGGTTCCAATCTGGTCCAAGTGATTTGCGAATTGAAGAATTAACTCGGATGGTACTCCAAGTACGGTCGCCATCTTTGTCAAGTTTTTGTGATAAAGGTGGATCACCTCTTTTTCTGATAAGCCGACTTATTCTTCCCTCTGGGTAAGGTTCGATGTGATTAATTAGTTAATTTCAGTTAATTAAAAGTTAGAAAAAGACCACCAACAAACAAAGAATGCAAATAAAACCGTTAAAAACTGGGAAATGACTCCCAATATTTGAACCGCGATTACTCTCATTTTTGGGATCCGTTGAGATTTCTTGCCAATACTTCAAACTTTTTAAATTATTTAAATTAACCATTGATTTTAAGTTATTTAAATATGTTTAGTAATTTTAAGATGCAAAATCTGCAAAACTGTACAAACAAATATTTTCTGCAAAGGTGGACGAAGCAATTAAAATTTGCATGTTGGTGGCATTAAAGAAGAAAATAAGAGACAACCTTTAATGTGTATATTGGGTTATTTAATTTAAAAATAAAACTACAAATGACTTCCAGCTTTGCAAATTTTCTAAACGTTCTTGTCGCCAATTTCGTCATTTTTCGTCTGATTTTTTGCATTCAATTTTGACACATTTGTTTATGTTGTCGACATGTCGGAACACGGTCATCGCCATGTTTTCGACTTGTTTTATCGCCATGTCGTGATTTCGTCATTTTTCATCCGATTTGCATGCAATCTTGGCACAATATTATGACAGGCTGGTGGCTAAGGCTGGGCATAAATAAGTGAAAGACAAACTACAAAATTCTCCAATATTGAGAGGAAAGGTAGATCGGTTAGGGTACGGAAAAGGGGACCCCAAAAAACTTAGAAATTTTTTCGAATTTTTTTTTTCTACAAATGTCATTTTCGTGACCTACAGGTCATGATCGGTGTAAATCTGCAAAAACATTTTTTTGCCCCTAACAAAAAAAAACTTAGAAAAATTTTGAAAAATTTCTAAGTTTTTTTTTCAAGGGGAAAAAATTTGTATTCCATTTTTGGACGTTTCAGGGAATTCTGAGATTTTGTCTCACCGTGCCCCAAAATGTTGGGGTAAAGTGAGATTATTGGTTTTTTATGCATTTCAACACTATTTGAGTGTCAACCTGCATCAAACATGGTTCGCGGACCAAAAAAACGTCGAAATCTTGAATTTCTCAAATTACCCCAAAAATCAAATACCCGCTTTTCTACCCACCAAAAAATTTTTTTTATTTATTCCAACAAATTTACATCCTACAAATTCAGTTTTTAGCCCGAGCCGAAGGTGAGATGGCTTATGTACCCGTTGCGGCTGTCTGTCTGTCCACACGATTACGGTCGTTCTACTTGTCAGATCGATTTCAAATTTTGCACACACATAAAACATGTCAAAATATTGGACGAGTTCGAAGATGAGCAAAATCGGTTGGAAAACAAAAAAGTTGTAGTGGGGGTCCAACTTGCCCTTAAAACGTGCAGTGGTGGGGGTCATGAAATTTCCAAAGTCTTCCGATTGACTTCAAATTTTCCACAAAGTTAGATTTGGTGGAAAAAATGATTATTAGCCAATATTGAAAAAAAATTCTAAAAAATAAAAAAGTTGTAGTGGTGGTCACGCCGAATAATTTTGGTGCAGAATAAAGCAGGCAAAAAATGAGGCTCGGGCTATATGAAGGCTGCATTGGAGGTTTTACAATATCTCACATCACCCCAAAATCAACTGAACATAAATATTAGTTTTATTCCATACACATTTGGAAATAGACAACATGGCGCAGTCGGGGTGCACACCGGCTGTACTAGGTTCGATTCCCCCTGGTGGCGAGTGCTCTGTGATATATTGGAGGTGTTTTTTCAGTATCGTTATGGTTTACCATGTGATACTAAGTAATACAAAAGGTTGCTTGGAGCACGATACACCATGGTCTTTTTGCAAATTGTGCTTAAAATTTTTAGCCTAATTTCTGCTGATAATTGTATCATAAATAGTGGGATAAACATCGGAACTTTTGGAACTGTCCATGTGTGGCTCAGCTACTAAATCGGTTGTCAAAAACCTGCAGTTCCTCGGGGTTTTGGGTTCGAATCTTGCTGGGGAAAAAATATTTTCATAGTACTTGCCGTGTAATATGGTTGCATAAAAATCATGTTACATGGCAGATACTACTAGGTAGCCGAATTGCAGTTTAGTTTATGTTTCAGATATAGCTTGAAGAGCTAGAAAAATGCATCCGCCAGATTTCGCCGCCATTCGGCAATTCAAAAATGTTTGGGGGAACTTGAGAAATATTTCTATTTGGGACTTCGGCAGTTTAATTAACAGTCAGGAAGCAGCAGTTACCGCTGCCTATGCCTGGGGGCTTGTCCCTAAGACGATGAGCTGCCCACAATGCCGTAGAATGATGCATGCTCAAGAGAGATCAAGCCAGAAGTTAGGGTTTAGATGGAGATGTAGGCGCAAACCTCATAGAACGGCAGTTTATGTTAGCCCAACAAAGGGAACTTTCTTTGAGCACGTGAAGGTATCTTTCGAGCAGGCGCTGAAAATGATGTTTATGTTTGTTCGCGATGAAAAATTAGGATTGGCTAGGAAGGACTGTGGGATTGGGAGTAAGACAACCGCCGTAGACTTATATAGTTACTTTCGGGAAGTGTGTGACGTGACTCAAGACCATGACTTTATACCGATTGGAGGGCGTGATGACATCGTGGAAGTAGACGAAAGCCATTTATTCAAACGGAAGTACCATCGGGGAAGACGGCTGAGGTTGTCCAGGCACGTTTGGGTTTTCGGTTGCTGCAGTCGACTAACCAAGCATATGTGGATTGAAAGGATTAAGGACAAGTCTAGACCAACATTGGACAGGATTATTGGAGGTCGAGTGAAACGGGGATCCTACATCATGTCCGATTATCATAGAAGCTACATCAACATCGACAGGCGATTAGGGTTCAAAGGGCACGGGAGGGTCAACCACAGCAGACGATTTGTAGAGGGCTGTACCTGGATTCGTGGAGTTCGACCGCGGCTGGGAGATCCAATCCACAACAATCCCCGTTATCGGAGCTGCAAAGTCCACATCAACAATATCGAGAGATCGTGGCGAGAATTGAAGAAGAAGCTTCGAACCTGCATGTTTCCAATGGTGGGCAATACATGAGATAGAACAGTTTTCAAGTCGTGCAATATTTTCTGCCACCCCATGCAAATTACTTATAGATATTGATTAATGGTTAAACCGGAAGTCGCAGCTTTCCTTATGCGCTTTATGATCCGCAGCGGCAATAACTTGTTGGCAGCCGACATCGTAAAATGGACACTTCAATTTAAACTCGAGCTGAAAACAATCTAATGTTAGACAACCTGGAGTATGTATGTAATTATTCCTGGAATTTTACGCACCTGTCGTGACAGTCTTTCTCCCAGGATGGAACCTTGCAAATTGGTGGACTCACAGAGCCCACATTTCGTAACTTTCTCCACACAAAGGCCACAAATGATGTGTCCATTCGCACAATTGTGGATCGGCGAGGCCGGCACGTCCAAGCAGATGGTGCACTCGAGCAGGCTCGGAAGACTGGATGGGTTTTCCATACTCTAAATTAGCAAACGTGGGAAACAATTTATTAAAACGTATGATTTGAGAAAATGATCAAGTATATATTTATTTGACCTACATATTTACAAATACTAAGAGTATATTTTGTGTATTGACTTATTTAATTTAACTCACTTCTAGCCGAGTATTTATTGAGATATGCACATTTATTATTAATTCGTCAAGTTTGCCAAGTACATGGCTTATTACACTTGATAAAGATACATACAGATTGGGATGGAATGATTAGATAGGTGGATAATAAATCCACATATGTATGTATGTGTAGTGGAATTAATAGTTTCAAGAGTTGAATAATAAATTAAGATACATATGTACGTGTTATCTGAATTGGTTCCAAGAAGTCCACCACCGCCTAAAGAAAAGAAGTGAGTAGTGCTCAATCATCTTAGGATTAGTTATTTGCTGCATACCTAATAAATACATATCATAACAAGAATTGTGCAGAGTTGTGTGTGTGTGTGTGTGTGTATGTGTGTGTGTGTTACCTATTGAACCAAGCGCTTCACTCGATGGATGTATCACATTACCCATAGTTCTTTAAATTACCCGCCTAGCGCCACCTATCGGCATTTTGAGGTACTAGGTTGTTTTTTCGCCGCTAGATGGTGTTTTCCGCTCAAAGTGTATAAACGTTCTCATAACGTTGACTGGCATCAGATCAAATAAAAACAGCTCCAATTGGATGAGGTTTGGCATTTGACCAAGACACATTTGGACACCTTCGCACCGGCCTCTATAGTCATCATTTATCCTATTGTCCTGGGGTCAACACTTGACCTTTGCACCCTCATAGTCGTCATGTGACCTTTTGACCTGGGCACCCTCAGAGTCGCCATGTATCTCATATTGCCCCATAGCTATTTAAATTACCGAACAGCTCCACCTATCCGCGTTTTGAGGAACTATGTTGCATTTTTCGCCACTGAAAGGTACTTATAGCCATAGATCGGATATTTTGCGTACTCCGGCCTCCGGCCTCCCACGCGTACTCCGGCCTCCGCGTACTCCGGCCTCCGCGTACTCCGGCCTCCGGAGGCCGTACTCCAAGCTCGGAGTACTCCGATCTATGCTTATAGCTGCAAGTGTCAAAACGTTCGCAAAGCACACCTAAAGCTGTGCGTAGGGTCGGGTTTACCCTAAAAAAACCTGCACTACCCTATATGTAGGGTTTTGGGCGGGCCGGGTTTTTTGCCCAGGAAAATCCACTCGGGTGGGGCTTTTTCCATTAGGGTTTTGCGCGTGCCGAGCTTTTTATCTAGAAAAATTCAGGAGGGCCGGGCAGGCCGGGTTTTTAAAAATCGGGTCTGTGCACAACTCTAAGTTCACCTCCAAGCACACCTGTGATCTGGGCACACCCCAAGAGTCTGGGTTTGACATTTCAACGGGGTGTGACATAGGCACACACTTAGAGTTCTTTCGTGACCTGTGACGTCTGCACAGACGCGTAGAGGCGTAACGTGACCTATGACGCTTTCCTTCATCACGTAACCCTCCTTTAGGAGTTATCGTAACTTCAGAGGTGTAAGGTGGTTATCTACGATTTTTACCGGAGTAATTTGTTCATGATCCCAAATAAGCGGACCGTGTGTGTATTTAAAAAACATTTCTGATTTAAAATTAATAGTTAAAAAAAAGTATTATTTTTAAGTAAAAAATGTTTTTTGCTCTGAAAATGAAATTATGTGATTGGTATTGGGAATTTGGGACGTTTCTTTTTAATTTTGGGATTAAGAACAAGGATTAGGAATTTAATTTAATGCGGGGTTAGGAATCCTAACTTAGGATTGACGTGGGATTAAGTTTTTATGTAATTTTCCTGGATTTGGAATGAACTTAGGCCTGAATTGTGTTGCATTAAACTTTATTATGCCAGACTTTTAAATTAATTAAACAAATATCTGCACCGTGAAGCAAGAAATACCATTAATATGCAAAATTAGCTCGGTTTTGATAAAAACTTATTGGATGCTAACTAAATATTTTTGTCGCAGTGAAGATTATATTGGAAAGTAGTATAAAATGTTAATTTTATACTACTTTACTATTTTACTATTTTTAATGCAACGCTTTACCCATATGTATGAGGAGACATTTCTGTTACGGCTAAACTAATTTGTAAAATTTAGCATTGGGGATACGTCGTTAAGAGTAGTTCCGCAAACAAATTCAAGTATTTAAATGTCCGCTAAAAAAATGAGTATAAAATGAACAAAATGCAATCAATTTAGAATAGAGGAGAAATATCAGCAGAATGTAGATATTTAACTTTTAGTCAATTTTAAT